TTTTACGAGTATCACATTAAACACAGTATCGAAAAAAATGATGAGCATTCAAAATATTTCCCGTTTGCAATTCCATTTATTGCTTGAATAAAGAGAAGAAAAAAAACGCCTGTCGATTCGGCAGTGTCGAACCAATGGGTGAAAAATGAAAACGAATGTCGAATTTTCGGTGTACGTGGCATTATATGGTCTTTTTGTTTCGAATATTGTTTGGAAAATTGTATGTGGCAGGCATGTATGAGATATGTGGCACAAGGAAAAACCATGATAAAATCTTGTGTTTTCATGCATTGCCGTATATGAATGCCATACACAAGAACATGTTCATAGCTGGAATGGAACGCATGTTTTCATTCATTCTTTCGCTTTTTATTGTTCCTTTGGTTTGCATTTTTCTTTCCATTCCTCTGAATTCTGAAAGCACACAAATTGAATAAGGGTGAAGCCGATTTCCCTATCAACGAAACGCACGCACACGGTTCACGGTTTACTTTTCTTCTACGGCTATAGACTAAGGCGGTTTGCATGCAGACAGCTCATGAACAAGTGAGAATTTCTATTTGCGCCAAATAATCATAAACGGGTGGAACGTATACTGGTAAATTTCCGTCAATAAATATGATGAACACAACTGGTAATTTAGCGGCTTTGTGCTGACAAATCTGAATTGAACGAAAAAAATCATAAATATATATGATCATTATGTCGTGCACAAATTCAATTGTAATAACAATATGGAAACACAATATCGTACTCCAATAAAACATTGAATGGTCATGAATATTAAATATTGGATCGTGATTTACCAATCAAACAATTACTTTATCAATGAAATAAAAATGACTATATTTAAATTCAAACATGCTATGAACACACATTCAATATGTGCTGACAAAATTAAATATTCATTCAATATAAATTTGGAGTTTTTAAGCGAAAATTACCGATGAACGTAACTTGAAGCATTTTTTTTCTTCATACATTTGCATGATATATCGACGTATCAGTCGTGCATATCCAAATCTTTACCGGTTACAACGACTCGATTAGAAATCACAACAGAAATACCCAACTGAGTTGAAATTGTACGGTGTAGCGAATGCTAGCAAATCATTTCCTCTTCGTTTGGGTTTGCTCGAGAATAAGTGATTATGATTTGATGTAGCGTTATGCTCGTGAGCCTCGAGCGCATGAAAATTTTTCTACATCACATTCCGATGAAGCGACAAATCCCTGTGCATTACGTACAATTTATGCAAATAACTTTACGGCTGGTCGAATGTGAAATTGTATATTTCATATATATATAGTAGAAAATCAACGTAATAAAAAGCGCATGCCGTCGTACTGCAATACGCTATGCATCGATGTTATAACATAGAAAATGAATTTCAACAGTGCTGTTGCGCTGGGGTGACATACACACGGTGAGAAACATGAAAATCAAATTAGAATTTTTTGAAAATTGCCCGCTTCTCTCGCCGTTCAACTCGTTCGTGCGAATGAATCGATTGCTATCTGCCCAAGCCAACGCTACCATTAGAGCTTAATGATGAGACGCACATGAATGAATAAAAAAAAACCGTAGAATTTTCCTCCCCCGAGATACAAAGTCAAAACGAAACCGAATCAAATAAAGTAGATTTGATTATATAATTTGCTCAGGGCGTCGGTGTGTGTTGTTTGCTCGACTCAGTACGACATGTGTCGAACAGATATCACAGCATATACCGAATATCAGCGACATGGCATTTTCAGCCACCGCCACCACCACCAGCCTTGTGGCCAATATTATTTATGCGATAAAATGTAGCATTTCCGCCTCCTCCGATCGATCGATTGATGTATGATGTGCGAGCAAATGCTGAAAATGCGATATGGTTCGAAATGTGCAGCACGGCTCTCTCACTCGGAATTCGATAATTGTATATCCAAATGTGTAACAACGCGTGTATTCGTTATCGCGCCCGATTCATCCGTTTCGTTTTCCCATTTTATGATGATGGCGTGCGCGCGTTAATGATAAATATGATGTTCCATTCGCTTTTTTCACATTCAAATTAAATACGCAGTGCGAATGCAGGCATACGAAGCGAATAGGTAGACTACACTCGTTGCCGCTATACGACACCCTTGTTGCATATTTATAAAGCGACACCGAGGGGGGGGGGGGGGGTAGAACAGCCAGGACGGAGAAAGTAATTAGTTTTTTTTCCCTTGCATCGACGAAAGTACTTACTTTGCAAACTGTGCGCTATTTTCACGCACATTATTTCATCTTTCCGTGCTTCTAATTTCTTATGAAAATAACGACGCCTGAATAAAAGTAAATATTTTCGCTCAGTATGTAATCCCACAAACTTCCATTCTCGTTGTTGTCTCACCGACTTTTCGACATCGCAGCTCAAAAACTGATATTCACGGGAGCTAATATTATTCGATACATTTCGCCGGGCTTCATTCCCATCTCCCTGACGTAAAGTTTATTTTATGCATCTACAGCTGATACTATAGCCGTAGTAACGGCAATGAATTTGTTATATGTACATATTATATTTCGTCATTTTTTTTTTCTGTCGTATCCACTGAATGGCCTGGCGTTGTCTCGCTTCATTTTATTGCCATTATTGCATTTTGTTTGTGTGTACCGAAAAACGGGAAAGCACACGCATAGGCTTTTCGCAAATATTGATAACCAGGAACGGCAAACAACGGGAAAAAATTGCTTTTGTTTTTTCCTCGTCGCCTTTCATTCACAGCCCGAGCCCATCCCCTCCACCGTTGCTTGTGCATGTATTCTCTCTGGCTGAGTCTCTTGCGTTCCATAAAAGTGGATAAAATGCACGATAGGAAAGTCAAATGCCATACTTTTATCATAAATTATTTCCATTTTTATTCCTCATCATGGCAAGTTTGCGTTTTAGAGATTGTTTTTCGTCGTATAAACTTGCGGTTTCTTCACGCTCATGATTTCATGCAAATGAAGCACAACTCTAGCTTTATTTTTATTGCACGAAATAACTGTCACACATTTGTTATTTCCGTTTTGATGTATGGCGTGAGGCGATATGGCAGCGAAAATGCATTAGTACACATGATGTATTTGCTATTATGAAGACGATAACGATAAGATGTGCACACATTGGCACACTCAAGCACTACATGGTGCCTTGCTCCATCAAACAGCTCTATCCGAGTTTTCAAGCATAATAATGTTAATACGCTTGAGTTTATATGTGACGAGGGAAGGATATTGAACTAAGACTTCGATACTTCACTTCCTTATGCAAACAAACTTTTTTCATAAACAAGGTGTTGTCGAGAAAAAAATAGGAAAAGTTTGTCGATACTTTGATTTTTAGCGCACTATAGGCACCTTAACGCTGCTGGAGATTATAGTTATTGGCACAACGAAAGCATATCCTAATTGTCGGAGAAGATTCATAAACAATTTGCCGCAACTAGAAAATCCCAAACGAGAAAACTTTTCTAAGCACATGATGCATCACAGTGCTCATAAATGCTTCATAATAATTGAATTATTTCACAGTTCACACTGTATTCCATTGCTGCCGCAAAGGATCTAATCACAAACTTTAGCTCTGGAATTTACAGCTAAAGTATATTTTAATTATGAAATTTGCACCACGCATAACTTTTTTGGCTCGTTTTTTTCTTATGAAAATAAAACGTTTCATGCTTACGCGGCTTAATTTACTCGTAATGAAATAAAACTTCAAACTCATCATTACCGTACGCCTTGGAAATTGCGGCTGTTTTTGATTTCACCATTCCAAATTGAGTTTCTACCCCAAAAAAAAATGTAAATTGCTTGCGGAATGGTTAAAGAGTTTGATGTACGGCTTCGTCTATATCGAACCCTAAAACTAATCCATACCGAACAAATCAATATGCAATGGCTTTGATTTACTTTTTTCGGTAAACATTTCACAAGCTAAATCTGTCGTTCAACTCGAAAACAAATTTCGCATGAAAAGAAAACTTCTGGATAAAAGAAAAAGGAAACTTCTCCAACCATAAGATTAATGGAAATGTTTGGCAGCAAGTTTTTTTTTCCTCCTTTGCACCTTTCTAGCTGAACGAGCATTCACTCAATTTCGTTTTTCACCTTCCATTTTTCATGTTTAACCAAAGCTGTTTTCTGTTTACAATCCATTAAATGAGAAACAGAAAGAAAAACTGAAACGCGTCGGTCTTTGGCACAAAAACGGCTTTTACTCAACCCGGAATATATCGATGCATTTTTCATGCGATACAATGCGGCAAACGAATGCCACTGGAGGCATTTTCAGAGCAACAGAAAAATGCATTAAAATTTTTTGGATGAATACAATTTTATTTGCTTTCGGAATGTATGTGTTCTGTGGCGATATTCGAACGAAACCTAAAGAAATACAAAAGAAAATACATGACACATTCTTGCTAAAACGGCACTACACACCTTATGGAATGGGTGTATTGAACTCACCATATCACGGAACTAAATCTAATCGATACGTGCATATGTTTTTTTCATCAACTTCTTCAATGTACGGCACATATAGCAACGACTGACATAAACTAACCGAAGTAGAGGACGCAATTCAAATTATTTTCGGAATTCACGTTTCTTCTTATCGATTGAAGCTTGTACATATAGCCAACAAATAGGTTTGCATTTTTTATGCATGCGATGAGGATAGACCACAAACAAACCATGCCAACGGATTGTCCGTTAAAATTCATTAGCCAGTATATTGGTTATGTGTCAGTCATTTTGTCATCGACATGTTTTTCAATTACACCAATTATCAGTTTCAATCGTTTAGTGATAATTGTTCCCTTTGTCGACTATAATTAAAATTAACTGTGAGAATTATCAACTGTGCGCCAGTTGTTCATTCGTATTGGGCTTGTTTTCAAAGTAAATGGAAGTAATCAATGATATTTCCATGAAAGCAAACCAATTAAGTGATTATTTTTTTTTGCAGTTTATTAAACGATAAGTATATTTGTAGTTTAGAATATTCAGTAATGAGAGGCGAGAATGAATAGTTGGATAAAAGTGCATCACATGCAGTTATTCAATGGTTTTTATAAATATTGAAGGATTCAATCAAAATCATGAAATAATTGCGAGTGATTTGTCATTAAATTCATGGTCGTCTGCGTTGCACCGTACGATCTTCATGCACAATGGTGCATGGGATGCTATTCATGTTGGGAGTTAAGAATTGTTGCAAGCGATCAACGCCTTGACGTGCCAAGCGGTCAAATGGATAACCCATCGATCTACGGTCTGGATACAAGCGATCACGAACACCACAAAACGCACTCGCATCGGAGCACGTGCCCACCAAATCTTGATCAATTCTGTCATCATTGTAGTTAGATACCATTACAAACAGTACACATTCAAAGCCCCTTCCCGTTCTTCCTTTTGGAATGAGCATATGTTGGGGCCATCCACAGCCTATACTTTTTGTATGTGTTTTGAAATATTTGGAAACAGCAACGAGAAAAAGATGTTTGAGAGAAAAAAAAAATGATATTTTAGAAAAAAAACTCATTTTCAATGGATACTGTATAATTTACCGCAGAAATTGAATGCTTCCAGCTCTTGTGTATTGTCACCTGGCCGATTTGTATCAATATCGCGGAATGTACGCTCAAACGGAATAGTAAGGGATGAGTCAGTCGAACGGCGTCTGATCAAATTATCACCAGGATTTACTATAGAATCGAAAGAATGCGATTACCCTTTGCTAGGAGATATCAAACATGTAAAATAACTTGCATGAAATAGTGAATTTGTCCAGTTCAATCATGAGAAGTCGTTGATCTCTGAATAAAAATGGTTGGCCTCTCTCGTCGTTTCGTGGACCCAAAAATATGCGACACGTGCCCATAGCCGGGCGACCAGTGGTGTTGTTCACGTTGATGTTATAGGTGAAGTCGGCATTTTGCAAGTGTGTAAACCGGGCAAATACATTTCCACGGGGAACAAAATCAAGACCACGCGATAAGTCGACATCAGATTGTTGCCAGAATGTTTGAAGCACATTTGGTGGGCCACGATCTGTTCGCACTTGGATATTAGTTACTTGAATACCTGGATAATCAAGCTGCCGAGTTGTGTACTACAAAAAAAGTTTAGCATGTTACTGTGAGCGTTGATTCATTCGCATGTGCTGAAAAGAAGAAAGACGATTTTGAAGTATTTGAATTTACTTGAGGTAAGCGCTGCTTGTGCTCTTGGAACATATCATCGACAAATGCATGCCATCTGAAGAACGATGGATCTCTGAGTGTGATTGTAAGATCGCCCATCACGCCAAATGATTCTACGAATGAAAATAAAAATCATCGCTTTTGATTTCAATGTGTCATCGACCGAAAGTCAAATTTACTTCCATTGAATACACTCATGAGTAATGAATCTACTTTGAATGCTCAAAATTACATTGAATACACACCTAAGTGACGATTATCTGGATCGTGAGCGTACGAAATGAAGACATGGCCCATGCCATGCAAGTTGCCGTAAAGATCACGATTGATTGAAATAGATGATGACTCCATGATGTCACCCAAAATATCAATCCCACGAGTTTCATCCAATCGAATACGATTGCCAGATGGATCTTCAACCCAGCCCTGATGACACGCTTGCACAAAACGACTGGTCCAACGATCTAAGTCGTTGATATCATATCGAATTTGGTCCAAATCACGGCTCAAATCGGATATCCTGGTGTTTGCTGGGCGGGCTGGCCAAGCACGCGAAGCAACGAGTGAGTCCAGTTTTGGGAAATATCCTTCCTGAATTGGCTCTCTAAAGTTGTTGAAACGCTTTACACGTGACAGTTCATTGCAGAAACGCTCAAGGTTATAACGGGCAATAATCTAAAACATGGGAGAATGTTCAAATCTTCATTCAGAAATAATTATTTGTGGGGTTTGGAGCGAAAATGTCATACAGAAAAGTTGAGAGGAAAAATGTCAAATGAAAAGAGATATCTATATAGTTCACTATAGTTTACCATACAGTTTACTATATAGCTATCCCTTTTCCGCTCATTCATCATCGACATTTTTCCGCTCAACTTTTCTGTATTACATTTTCGCTCTAAACCCCTCATTTTTCTTTCAAACTGACAAAAAATAAGAAAATGTGAGACCTGTTGATGCATATAATAGAAAAGTTCACCACGTCGATCCTTGCGAACGATAGCATCATTGTTCGCATCGGTAGGGTACACGAGATGCCAATGCCAATGGTGCAAACTTTAATTGTGGAATATATGCAATTTTTCGAATTTTGGTTCTCATCAAAGGCAAGGAATCATTCCGAACTCTGACAGAACGCTTGAAATAATAATTTATTTATTAATTGATCGAAACTTACTTGAGTCCGATGTCCTCACGGAAATACCACAACCGATGCTCTGGTTCAAGATCGGAAGCAGTGTAGTCCGTCGGAATGAGAATGGGCACTCGTGATTCTTGTGGTACAACGCTGACTTCTTCTCTGATTTGGCGAAATACTTGCGAATCCATAAATTTGCCAGGGAATAGCTCGGAGACTAACGGAATATTCATGTCTTTAGTGTCTGGCCGATGAAGTATGGCCACCGATATGGCATAATTGAATAGCAATGGATTCACACGATCTCTGGCGTACACCGCCACCGTTAGAAGATCATCAACACTTCTCAATCCTATCAAAGTAGAGTTATTTCAACATTTCTAAAAAATCTAGATAGAACTACGTACCCATAAAAATGTCAATCAATGCACCAGCGATGCGTTTATGACGAGGAATAAACAATGAAAATTGTTCGTCTCGGCCCAATGACATTGGAACACTCAAGTTTGGAAGGGAGATGTTGTCACGAATCGTGACTCGCTCTCCAAAAGGTTCGCCGAATCGATCTTGAACCTCTGGCCGTCCCTTGTAACGATCACTTAAAAGTCTGGGTGGCACATCAAACTTGACGTTCTTTTTCCCTTTCTCCATAAACACTGGCTCGAGCGGACGCTCCATCAAAAACAGCAAATTACGTTTGGCCGACATTTCACATAAACTATTCAACTTCAATGCACTTTAAGAATTCAGAAATAACTTGCACCACTTCTTTAACTGACCGGAAAAAAGTGAATATAATGGGCCGCAACTTCGATATTTATACAAAATTTCAGCTAAAAAAAATCTTCCATCTTTGCGTATTAACGATATGAGAAAAAAAATTGCACATAGGCTAACCAATGACCACAAGACCTAGAACAAAACGGGAAACAGATAATTCTTATTGTGCAATATTCAAAATGCAAAAAAATTCAAGGATATGGCCACAGATAATCAAATGTTGTAGAATGCAAACCATGATGGAAAAACATTCGAAAATGAACTCAGCTCGACGAAGGGAAACAATGCAAAACCAAATGTGGTGTCGGCACGGTCGAATTGAGGCTGTAAATGAGTATCGTATTATGCTTATCTGAATTTTTTCGTGATTGAACCAAAACACATCCGTAAATTCATATTTGCTTCATATGCATTTTATCGGTTCGTAATGCCAATTTTGTGGCCATTGCATTCAAGACTGGTAAAACCCGGCCAATTAAATTATGAACAATTTAACCATATCTCGATTTCATCAAATGATGATCGTCGTCAGATAGATTCTATAGCTAGTCAACATTTTGAGTAGCACTTGCAACAGAGTTGAAAGAAAAACGTGAATTAAAGTAAAAGTTTCTATTTCGTGTAATTCGTATGGGGTTTTATCAAGATTCTATTCATCATATAAATATAACAGACGCCAACGCCACATTTCCTTTTGATAAATGAAGTTGAATTATTAAAAGTACAAGCAGAAATTTGGTATGAATGTTAAATAATTCTTTATTTTTATTTTATTTCCATGGTATTTTATCGAATGATTCCAAGTAATTATAGAGGTAAAAAAATTAATTAATAGCTTCGGTCACATTAACGCAAATTCACATTCTTCATTTTATTTCACAGATTATTTTCCCTATATGCAACAAAAATTGAAAACACTTCCCAATGGTTCTTCATTCATCATTTGTCAAAATGGTCTCCGAACATCCATACAAAACTAGATGAAGTTCCAATATTTACCTCTAACCATTTACGATTTGCCTTTAGAAAGTCGTTTGGAACATCGACTGTACTGTTTTCAACGTGGATTGTCACTTTGACACGTCTTACCTTCGCTAAATCCAAAATCGATTTGAAGTCATCCAAGTCAATTGTGATTTCATCTATGTCTACTATAAGAACCGATAGCCGTTTGCCATATTGCAAGGCTTTCTTAATACCCATAATCGTCAATTTTGGGCTTATTGGTGCAATCATCTCTTGCAATGCCGGTAAATTTTTGACGATATTGATGAGTGCTTCATCCGTAATTTGTGTGAGACATAGTTTTTTCAGTGATTTAAGTTGTGAGATATTCAATTCAGGTGTTGAATAGTCTTCCACATCATCCATAGTAATTGCTAAAAATTCTATCGGCACATTATTTTCAATGAGAGAATTAACCAATCTTCCGACTGGAATTTCACTGAACGAATGAAGACCCAACGACTTCAGCTTCCGTAATTTGCTTACATTGATCAAACGTTCATTGGATTTGGGTGATGAGTTATCGGCAGTTTCCCAAAAAGATAGTTTTTCAAGGTTTGGTGTAAGTTTGGCAATGTTTTTGAAAAGATGTGGTGTTATTTGTCCACAATATTTGATATTCAGGTTTTTCAACTGTGGATTTAATTTTAAAAAGCCAATGGCCTGATTACATTCCAATTGATGAAGGATGTAGAATTTAACGATTTCCAATTTTGGAAATGCTTGAAATAACCAGTCAAAATGAGTTATGTGCATTCCTGAGAGCCACAATCGAGTCAATTGTGAGTGATATTCGAAATTGAGGATGTTCGTACCGGATATTTCAAGTTCTGCTAACGCTTGTAGTGGTGATCGAGTGTTGAAGTTAACCAGTGAATTAACTTCAAATGTCCTCAAAGTTCTTCCGCAATAATCTGCGATCATATTTTCAATATCGTTGTTAGGTCTTTCATCGAATTCCAGTTTTGTGATCAAATGGCCAAAGATACTGAGGAAACTTTGCACTCGATCCACTGTGACGGTATATGCAAGTTTATATAATTCGCTGTCGTATAAATTTAAATGACCAATTCGAATGGTTTTGTACTGTGACCGAAACAAGAGCTTCGCATTTTCCTGGAAACGGATGCAAGTTTCGGCTGCACTCAGGAAATCTAGCAGATTTTTCAATCGGTGAAAAATTGACTGAATGCAATCATCATTTAAAGCGTTTAGAAGATGTGTTGACGCATCTTGTGCCGGTGGAATTCCAACATTCATGACTAGAAATTTTAAATGAAAAATGAAAAAAAGTGTGATGATATTTCTAAATTTAAAGTAAGTAAAACTAAAGCGAACTATAGAATATCAAATCGAACCTTTTTACTCCTACTAAATAGTATTTTTGAGTTATTTCCAAAATGCGACAATTTGACTGATTTTTTTATGAAGAATAAACTGAAACTGCTTTATTTCGTTTAGCAAATAAAATTATCTCAGATCAATCTGTTATGCTCCAGATAGAACGAGAGTGTTTCGGTTTGAATGCCGAAAAATCGAATGAGGTGATGTTCCAAATGTGCAGCTATATGTAGGCATTGTAGAGCGAGGTATAACCAAATTGGGCGTAATCTATTCCAAAGAATTGAGTAAACCATATTCCACTGGTTATTCCTAATCTCATTAAATCCCATCCTTTTCTGTATTCTCAATCCATTCCAGGTATTTATTTCAACATTTGCAATGTTAATTTTTAGCAGGAATACGATCAACAATTATTCATAGTTTTAAATTAGTTGAACATTCTTCAGAAATGTAGGAATAAAATCTCACCCTTTTTCAAATTCAACGATCAAAAATCATGTCTAAGTCACGATGCCTTCTTTCATTAACTTACTGTCGACTGTCGAGACATTTTTTTCTTTGTTTCATCGTATCGATAAATTTCACGGTTCAATCGAAGAAATAAATCGTTTAGACATCCATGAACTTGCAAATTGCAATTACGTCGCACGATTATTGAACATATTATTCCTTCGAACGAAATCTGCGTGCAGATGAATGTGCACGTATATTTTCCATGGGTTTAATCCATTCTTCGAACTCAATAACAACGATAAACACAATACGGGGGCAATAAATGAAAATTCGTTTGAAAATTCGCGTTTTTTTAGTCAATCGATCGAGCCAGAAACTCCTACTACTGCTGAATAATCGGATCAATTTTTTGTGCACGCAACGTGAATAAATCTATGTAACTGCAGCATGCTAATGCATGGAAATAAATTGCTTTGCTGATAAAAAAAACTCTTTCCTGGAAATGCATTGCTCTTGTAAAAATTCAGGAGCAAAAAACGCATATAAATTAAACGAGAAAATGTATGGAGTGTGGTTTTAGCATGGGCATTTTGCGTTTATTGACCGATAAACATATCAATGGATTATTGAGTTATTTCTGTTTCGTTTCCATTGCTCGCCTATGAATCCCTTGTCGTTTATTTCGTTTGGAATCCATAGCATAAAATAGCATTGCAGAAAAAATTGGCTCTGAAGGGTGGATGACTGAAGGATAACATATATATTCGGGTTCAACGTAAAATGAGTGGCAAACAACTTTTTCTCTGCTTTCATGCATAAGCCGTCAGCAGAATATCAAAACTCTTTGCAGTTGACATGATATAATAAAAGATATTTGATTTGACATCGAAGTGACTGGGGCTAAAGAGGGTATAACTTGGTATTTTCTATTAGAAGTATGATAAAGTTTTTCAGGACTTTTCGTCGATATCGAACATTTTCTATTTTCCTTCTTATGTAAAGCTTGTCGAAATTTCGGCTTAAGCCAATTTCGAAATGGTAGAATAATAAAGAAAAAGTCATGGAGTGAAGCGACTTTTCTTCTTTCTATTTCTCAGCTCGTAATTCATACTATCCGCAATTTGCATGAATAAAGTTCTTCTAATCGTAAGCGTCAAGTGAGTCTTTTGCGAAATAGCGAAATAATTACCACTGTTTTATCGCTTTCAGAGCCGTGATTCGTCGAAGTCGAGTGTATGCAAAGAAGCAAAAAACCGGCGGTGGTACAGCGGAAATGCAAGCGTCAATGGTTCTCTTTTTATAAATCACTTCAACACTTGCGACGTTCGACCAACAACTTCCAGCTTTATTCAGCCAATAATACTAATGGGCTAAAGTGTTGTGATTTATTGCCGCAATTTCCCATGATTACGGTGGCATATTCCTCGCCCCATTATATTTGAACCGGTTTTTTTTTCATTCAATTTTACGTCGTTTCTAAAAAAATGGAAAAACGGAACGCAACGCGTCGGTTCTTTTAAAGATTAAATAATTCGTTAGCCATTCAACGCTTTCCTCCTACAATGAGTTGACAAGTATTATATAGTGCAGGAATGAAAGACGCAGCTGCCGCTGTTTTTTACAACATGTTCTACTGGCTTCAGACAAGTAAATCCACTCCGTTAAAATGAATGCGAACGATATGTTCGAGTAAGTCGGTGGCTCAACAATAATTGGAGCAAATATAATTGAAAATCAATTTTGCGGTAGATAACTATTTGCGTATTAGTTGGTGCGTGAAAGTAGTTCTTGTGACCACCAAATCACTTATGCAGCAATTACGGCTATTGTGGCCGAATCGTACAACTGTGCCGTTGTTGTTCGTTGAACGGAATTCATTCACTGAGCATACAATGAGTCGTAAAAACTACTTGACGTTCGAGTCGGGCAAACGCCAATTGATTGTCTTTTCAATTCCACGTTCGGTATGGGTTTTGTTTCCCCCATTCGAGTGATTGGTTGCATGGGTTTTTATTCGTTTAATTTCTCCATCGATTTCAATTGCCGTTTTTGCCAACTGATGACCATTGTAGCAAGGCTCTAACGAATGTTTTCTGTGCTGTGCTTCCCATTTCATTTCTATTTGCTTTGTTTTTGACTTTTTTTCCTCTGGTTTTGTTTTTTTAACTGATTGCAATTCC